TACCAAGTCACCATAGAATGAAGTTGTTTTAAAAAAATCAAAGATAAACAAAAAAATGTAAAAATAGAAAAAAAACCTGGGACAAATTGAACAACAAAAATAGTGATAGTATTAGATCATAATGTATGGAATGAAACAAGTATCCATGGGTTCATAGTGATGTGAATCAATTAACTTTAGAAATAGGAGCAGGACAGCTCTTGTGTAGAATACTGGTTAATAGCTCTAGAAGGAAGTAGAAAAGCCACATTAAACACACAGCCGCAAATGCTGCAGTTATGAAACAATAATGGAAACTTTTTGAAAAGTGAGAGAAGGTTCAGTGGGCAGAAGCCTGCGGCCAGCCCTGACAGCCCACTAATTTTACCATGTATCCACCAGAGCTTCTCTCATTTTCTAAGTTCATTTACTCGTGTGTGTGTGTGTGTGTGTGTGTGTGTGTGTGTGTGTGTGTGCACGTGTCCCGTCCCCGGCCTTCTGCCCTGGCACTCAGTCCACAGTGGCTTGTGTGGCATTCGGAAGCCATCTTGCTGGAGTCAGTCCTCTCTTTCCTCCTGGGGCCTGGGGATGGAACTCAGGTCTCCAGGCACAGAAGCAAAGTGCCTTCCTTATGAAACATGCATTAACTAAGTAATGAAATTTGCCGGGCGTTGGTGGTGCACGCCTTTAGTCCCAGCACTGGGGAGGCAGAGGCAAGCAGATCTCTGTGAGTTCGAGGCCAGCCTGGTTTACAGAGCGAGTTCCAGGACAGCCTCCAAAACAATACAGAGAAACCCTGTCTGGAAAAACAACAAAAAATTAATGAAATACATCAATAACAAAGATGAAAATGGTGGCTTTATAGTGAGGAACCTGGGAAGGTACTACCATAATAATGTCACCAAAGTCAACCGTATAAGTAGTAAGACATATTAACATCATGTGCTCTTGAAGTTACATATAGAGAAGATGAATCATTTTGATAATTCTAAAATGACTCAATTATGAGAAAACACAAGAAAAACTTAACCCGAGGGACAAACTACAAACTACAAAATAGTTGGCCTTGGTTTTTCAAAAACATCTAAGTGATGAAAAAGAAAGGAAAAATGACCCTCTCCAGTTTCCTGGACATTCTTTTTGGCCTTTAAGCTCAATGGCTTTTCTCCACCTTGAGGCTGTTTGAGCAAGCTGTTAGTTTTTGGCCAGCACTCTGATGCACTCTGCTCAAAACAGCTTTCCTGGCCTCAGCTTTCAGGAAACCTGCAGCTCCCAGGCTTGACTGCACAGACTCAGGCAGTCAACACTGGGTGTCCTCCTGTTCCAGGATTCTGGGAACGGGCTCTGATCGGCAGAGCTCATAGTGTACACATACCCTTGTCTGTTCATCTGTGTCCAGAAAGCATGCCACTGGCCGAAATGTGGCCACCATGAACTGCCCTGTTCCCTTAGGGTTTGGAGGGCTGGGGTAAGGAAGCAGTTAAGAGAAGGAGGGTAGGTCATGGGCCCAGGCAATGTCTGCATCTCTGCCTACTGTTTCATGACCCACCTTCTTGGGAGCAGTTAACCCATTAGAAACAATCCTTTTAGTTTTCCAACCAGGAATGGTGCTTCAAATAAAGGCTATGAAAATATCAAAGACTGAAGGAGAGTTGGGAGATGCGGCGACTAAACACAGTAGAGATCCGGGATCAGAGAAAGGACGGTGGGAAAAGCTGTAACGGGAGCAGTTCACAGAATCGGATACACCGTCTTTGCCTTTGTTTGGTAATTACGATGATGTGCCAATTAAGATGAGATTGTGCACATTAGAGAAAGCTGGGGGAAGGACAGGAGGGGACTTTTCCTTAGTGCTTTGTAATGACAAAATCAACATAGCTAACTTCAGAATGAAAAGCTAGGGTGTGTGGGGGAACAAGAAGATAGGCAAGAGGATGAAAAGATACTAAACTTCAGCAGAGACAATGGGGGTCAGCACACAGTGGGGTGTCTATGTTATGACCTGAATGGAAAATGTCCCTCACAGGCCCACTTTGGGGGCTCTGGTTGGTGGTACAGACTTGAATTCTCTGGAATCTTTAGAAGGCGAGTCCTGGGTGGTAGAAGGAAACTTTTGAAGGCTCAGTTCTGGTTTTTATCTGGCTTTCAGTCTCTATACTTCCTGTCACAGTGTGAGCAGCAGCCTCAGGTCCCTTTCATCAGGGAGCCCAGTGGCTCCCGGTATGGGGTCTTCTCACCCACAATGGACTGAGAGTCCCTCAAACTTGAAGCCAAAACGAACACTTTCTCCTTTAAGTTGTATCTGTCAGGCACATTGAGAAAAGCAATGTAATACTGGAAGAACTGAGAGGAGGGCCAGCGAGAGGGCTCACTGGGTGGAAGAGCTGGCTAAGCAAAGCGAGTAATCCATCCGAGTTCCACCCCTGGATCCCATGTTGTCTTCTGACCTCCATGTGTATAATGGCATGCGTGTACCTGCATACACCACACACACACACACACACACACACTCACACACACACTCTCTCACACACACGTGCACACACACACACACACTCTCTCACACACATACAGACACACACACACTCTCACACACATACAGACACACACACACTCTCACACAGACGCACACACCACAATTATCTTAAAAGAAGAGGATGTAATAAGGGTGGGGGGAACCTCTGACAATGTATAAAGCTGTTTATAAGAAATATCGTTAAAACCAGAGTGAAATGACTGGAAGTTAGGCGTATTTGTTTAAGGAGAGTTGTAAGCATTGGTAATTAAAAGATTAACTTCCCTTTATTTTGCGTGCATTGGTGTTTTGCCTGCATGTATGTCAGTGTGAGGTTCTTGGAGCCCCTGGAACTAGAGTTAGACAGTTGTAAGCTGTTGCCATTTGGTGCTGGGAACTGAACCCAGATCCTCTGGAAGAGCAGTCAGTGTTCTTAACCTCTGAGTGGGCTCTCCAGCCCCAGGAGTTGCTAAACTTAAGATGATCTCCAGGATGAAGGGAAGTGTTTGTACATTGAAACTCAGAAACATTAAATGGCATGAGGAGTACCAGAAACAGTAAATATGTGAGTGAATCTGGTCTCCTTATTTAAGAGGTAAATAATTGTTTAAAATAAAAAGAGATTAAATTGCAAATTACTGGTGTGTGTGTGTGTGTGTGTATGTGTGGTATAGGTACACGTGTGCAGTTGCAGGTACCCATGCACATGCATGGGGAGGTCATAGGAGAACATGAGGAGGGATGCTCTGCCCTGTTACATTCTGCCTTATTTTCTTAAGACAACATCTCTCGCTGGGCCTGGAGCTGGGCTAACTGCCAGCCATCCTTCTGTCTCTGCTCTCCTCCCATTGCACTGGGGTCATAGGCCAGCATGTATCCAGGCTTAGATTTTTATGTGGGTGCTGGGGATTTGAACCCAGGTCCTCATGTTGGTCCAGCAAGCACTCTTACCCACTGAGACATCTCCCTAGCCTATTATTATTTTGCTTGAGGTGGGATCTTGCTATGTAGCCTAGGCTGTATGCCTCCTGCCCTACCCTCAAGGGCTGGGACTGAGACATGCTCTGCCGTGCTGTGCTATGCATCACCATGTAATAAATACGATCATGATAGCATAGAAAATGTAATTGTGGCTGCTGGTGGTGGCGCACGCCTTTAACACAGCACTTGGGAGCCAGAGGCAGGTGGATCTCTGTGAGTTTGAGGACCTCCTGGTCTACAGAGTGAGTTCCAGGATAGCCAGGGCAACATAGGGAAACCCTGTCTTGAACTCGCCCCCCCCATGCAATTGTGTGAATTAATTTATACAGTTATAAAGTCCTTACCCATTACACAAAATGATACAATCTCCGGGTGTTTGAGAGGTCTGAGGAAGAAGTGCCCACCTCTGCCGAGGATGAAGCTGGAGGAGGAGAAGCATCAGACAACATGGCATGGAAGAGATGACATTTCATATGTTTTGAAAAATAAGTGGAATTTTCCAAATGGAAAGAGGAAGGAAGATCAGTCAGACGGAAAGGCATGGGACACTTAGGCGTGACAAGAATCTCTTGGGCTAAGGGAGAGTAATGGGTCATGGTCAGATGCCAGGTCTCTTCTTGCTCAGGCTGGCTTCAAACGCCCTCTGTGCTCAAGAACTACCTGGAGCTTCTGGCCCTCCTGCCTCCTTAGCGCTGGAATTATGGGCACACACCATCACATCCTGCTTGAGAAGTGCCAGGGATGGAACCCAGTGTGTGCCAGGCAAGGAAGTGCTCTGTCAGTTGCACTGCGCTGCCAGCCCTAGTCTCCTTTCCACAGCACTACCGCTGCATCAGGACACCCCAGTCCAGCTCCAGCATTTTGCAACTTTTGAGCTTCTAGAGGCTTCCTATCTGGGGAAGACCCAAGGAAACTAGTGTAAGGGATAGGAATAGCAGGCAAGTAGTCTCTGAGGAAAATACTACAAAGCTAGTGAATTAGAGTTAGGGGGGCAATACAGTGACTGCCCTGAGATGATTATCAGAAACCTGCTTGGTGCAAGCATTTATAGACAGAGGCTCTACACAGATCCATCTTCCCTAACAAAAGCTGGAGACCGTGGTATTGTCAAGAGGATGCAGGGAAAGCATTCGACAGCTGCCTGTTAACTCAACGAGTGACATAGAGAATGAATGAGACTGGAGGAAATCAAAGTTATCAGTGTTGATGTCTCTGTGGAGGTGGGACTAGAAGAGTTCAGGAAGTGGCCCGATAGTTACTCTTTTTTTTTTTTTTTTCAAACCAAGCACCCAGGAGCTAACCCCTGGGGCCCAAATGTGTACACGACCCCGTTGGGCTCGGTTTCCACTAGTGAGCGCTGGGGGAGAGTCCTTGACTTCAGAGGTCTGGGGAGGGTTCTGAAGAGAGGCGCTCGCTCACCGCTTCAGGCAGGGTCCAGACGTGCGCCCGAGGGGAGGGAGCGCACGCCCTTGGCCCGCCCCGCGCGTCCCACCCACTGTGTCCCCTCCCCTCCCCTTCCCTACCGCCACGGGAAAAGCAGCCGTGGGCGCCAGGCTCGCCGTGGCGCGCGGTGTGTGAAGGGCAGCGGACAGGATGCGAGCGCAGCGGCCGGGGCGGCTCTGGGCAGCTCTGCTGGCGCTGGGGACACTGGCGGGCGTTGTCGTTGGAGGTGAGTGAGGCAGGCGGGTGTGCCCACTGCGGTGAGACCGTGGAATCCAGAGCTCCGGCTGAGAAGCTGAGGCGCGGGGGCAGGTCCTTTCTCCGGTGGCCTCGAGGGCGCGTCGCTGGTGGCAGAGGCAAGGGGGGATCCGCCGGAGGGCCCCGTGCGCTGGCAGAAGGATGCGGCTCACCTGCTTGAGTGAGTGTGTGCACTGAGTTGCCCTTTCTCCGAGTAAGGCATGTCCCCACGAGTTTGTTCATCTGGCTGCCACGCTCTTTAAGGAGGAGCAGGATTCGCGCTCGAGTCCTTCTGGGGCGGCTCTCGCATCCAGCATGTCCGGACTGTGTAGGGAGTCAGCACAGACTTGGGGCTGGCTTTAGCTCTCTCCTGCTTGCAGCTCACATCATCGGCTTTTGGCTTCTCTGGTGCTTTGGGGATGGGGAGTTTGGAAGTCAGCAGAGCCCAGGGGAGCTGGAGGTGATATTGCTGGAGGAGGAGAAACTGAGGCTCTGGGTCAGCAGGAGCAAGTTAAACCCTGCAGATGGTGTGTGTGTATATCCATGTGTGTAATAGAGTAATAGAGTCTCACGTATTTCAGGATGCTTCACACTCTCTGTGTAGTTGGGAGTGACCTTGAACCTTGGACCATCCTATGCCTACACTAACGAGTGCTCTGCACCACCGCTCAGGGTTTATGGACTTGAACCCAGGGCTTCCTCATGTCAGGCAAGCACTTTATTAATTGAGCTACATCTCCTGACCCAGATGGACTATTTTTTAAAGGTTATTTTATTAAGTTGACTTTGAGACTAAGCATTCTAAAAAAGGTTTTGGTGGCTGCCTTCAAGACCCTTCCACGGGACAGGGAAAGGGTGTCTCAGCGGAGAACTTGCAGTTGTCCTTTGTTGCTGAAGCCTCTGAGTGACAGATGAAAGGTGGTCTTTAGCCTACATTGAACAAGCCTTGTGACCACGGAACAGAAATCGGTTTCTCCAGGATTCTGCCCCGAGAGGTTTGAGCCTCCAGCAGCTGCTGCTAGCGGGCGGCTGTCTGGGAATGGGGAAATTCATCAGGAAAGTTGATGTTTCTTACAGATATGCTAACTTCCATGAACTTAAAACCTATAAAAATTGACTACTTCTGAATTTTAAATTGTCGTATAAAGACAGTGCATGCCTATGTAAAGTGTGAAAATGCGTACGCAGATACACTGTATGCAAATCAAGGTAGCTAGTATTCTTTGTAGCGTTAGACACCTTTCAGCTCCTCTTAACTATAGCTTCCAAGTGTCATAGTCGTCGTCGTTGTCATCATCATCATCAAAGTCTGAGCAGAAAGTCATGAGTTCACAGACAGGGCATAGACAGCAGGGTGCTTGGTTCAGCTCTAGCGAGGATGAGGCAGATCCATCATTTTGGTCTTTCACTTTCTCCCACCTTTTCTGAACCCCAGTGTTCTGTTTTTGGTTTGGTTCATACAGTTACAATGACGCATATAGGATCACACTGCTCTGGTGTACCTGAGTCTGGGTTTAAAGATCCTTTAGTGGGGAGACGGGGGAGATGAGGCTGATAAAGTAGGACCACCTGAATTCTGTCCCCAGAACCCATTAAAAGAGCTTGGTGTACTGGTGTGCTTGTAACTGCAGTGTAGGGGGAGGAGACAGAGGCACACAGAGCTCCGTGGTGAACCAGCCTGGCCTACTTGGGGAGCTTCAGGATAGAAAGAGATCCCATCTCAAAAAAAAAAAAGTGCTATTTCCGAGGAATGATACCCGATGTTGTCTTCTGGTTTCTGCCCAGGAACAAGTGTGAAAGGACGAATGCACATACACACCAAAACAAAGAAAACCCACAGAGCCTTTAGGAGCTCTGTTCACAGGTTTGTTGTGATTGGGGAGGGCTAGGTGGAGTCCTGTTGAGGAACAGAGAACTCTAGAGCATTCTGCGAAAGAAGTGTCTGTCATACACCCCATCCCAGTGTGGCAGAACTGCAAATATTTAGGTCCCTGGGGAAGCAGGTGCTGGGATGACGGACAGTGTTGAAGGGACACAGAAGGACCAGGGTGGGAGTGAGGTGGCACCGAGGGGATGTCCGGAGCAGGAGATTGTGCTGTGAGGTGACAAGAGCCTCTGTGAGGATAGCATTCAGTCTTTATCTACAAAGATAATCTTTCCGGCTTAATCTGAATACTGGATTTTTGTGACTTCCTCATATTTAATGTTTATTCCAACCTAAGTAGCTCAGAGATGAAGTGCTTACTTCTCTTCTAGAGTTTTTATTCTGGAAACTCTCCAACTGAAGGCCTGGAGAGACGAGGAAAGGCATGTTGCTGGGGAAAGGGACAGCCAGTGGGATGTAGGTTTGATTCTTGACTTTGCCCCTGATTGACATGCGATTTTGCTAATGTCTTTGTAGCGTTTCCTCACCTGTAAAGTGGAGAAAAATAGTGCCTCTGTTGTGGAGACTAAAAGAGACCAAGGCACAGATTAAATATTCAAATAATGGTGATTCCCGTTGTCATTACTTTTCCTGTCAGTGGTGTGTATACTACCAACTGCAGGCCAGAGCTGTTGCTAAGTCATACATTAGTGCAATCCAGGCTCCCAGCTGAGAATTTATTTCTCACATCCTCTTAATCCAACCCATTCCTCTTTGGTGGCTTGGCATATTTCATGGTCCTGTAAGAGTCTACAGAGAACGTACATTAATTTTTTTCCTGTGCATATCAGGATTGTAAAATGGGGGTGGTAAAAATCCAACACATAAGACTTCAGCCTCCACAAAGAGAGTAAAATGTCTATTTTGTTCAACACTGTGCCCAGCGCTTGGCACACCAGCAGCAAAAGAACTATGTAGGGAATGGTATAAAAGGACATCTAGAGGGGCTGGAGAGATGGCTCAGAGGTTAAGAGCACTTGCTGCTCTTCCAGAGGTCCTGAGTTCAATTCCCAACAACCACATGATGGCTCACAACCATCTGTAATGAGATCTGGCGCCCTCTTCTGTTGTGCAGGCAGACAGAATACTGTATACATAATGAATAAATAAATATTAAAAGGCATCTAGAGGTGATATCTCTTAATTTGAAAAAATCCAGTATTTACACATTTGTAATCTCAAGTGTTCTTACCTGAACACTCTGGAGGGTGTGTGTGTGTGTGTGTGTGTGTGTGTGTGTGTTTTGCTGAGACTGGAACCCAGGGTTTTGTGTGCTAAATGTGCTGTACAACCACAACCCTGGCCCTTTGTCTGTGTGGGCTTTTGTGCTGTTGTTCATCTGACCAGAGGATGAGGAAGACACAGGGAGTCCTCTGAAGTGTCTGCCCTTTGTCCCGTCTTTGGAGGAGTCACTAGAACAATCTTTTCAAACTCACAAGTGTGAGAGCAAAGGTGAGCGGTGACATATGTCTCCTGGGAATAGCATAAGATAGGACGAGGAGGCAGTGGTGTGAGGAGGGGCAACTGAACATGACTCGAGAATTCCCTGATAAAAATTCTTCCTTTGCAACTCCCTATCCTCCTTGGATCTCTGTTTATCATCTCCTCCCAGCTTCGAGAAGCCTGCCCTTGTTGGCAGTAACATCCGGGAAGCATGCCCACAGGAACCGCAGGTCATGAATCAGCAGACAGATAATTAACCGGGCAAGGGGTGTGTGTATGACTGAGCAGCTTTGGGGGATAAGCTGCTTAGCTTGCCCTGCCCTCTTTGCTGCCCACAGGGTGGCCTGCTATAGCTCACCATCCCCTCCTCTGCCTTCTCCCCAAGTGGAAGGACCATGCACCTACTGCAGCTTAGGTCGCTGGTGAACGTGAACCTGGAAGCTGGGGTCGATGCAGCTCAAGGCTTCTCTTTGGAAACTGCCAGAACTTACTGGAACTTGAGACCAGGCAGCAAAATGATAAAAACTTGCCTTTCTCTCTAGGCACACAGTGTCCACCCCCTTTAAAGAGCTAGGACGGGGGCTTAGAGGGCTAGCTAGCAACTAGGAGCACTTGCTGATCTTGTAGAGGACCTGAGTTTAGTTCCCAGAACCTACATAGGTGGCTCACAACTGCCTGTAACTTTAGTTTCAGGAGATCTGACATTCTCTTCTGCCCTCCTTGGGCACTGCACACTCGTGGTGCACATACATCCATGCAGGTAAATACTCATACACACAAAATCAAAATACATACATCTTTAAAAAGGAGGATTGGGCTAGAGAGAAGGCTCAGTGGTTAAGAGCATGTAATACTCTTCCAGAGGACCTGGGTTCAGTTTTTTTTTTTTTTTTTTTTTTTTTTTTGGTTTTTCGAGACAGGGGTTCTCTGTGGCTTTGGAGGCTATCCTGGAACTCACTTGGTAGTCCAGGCTGGCCTCGAACTCACAGAGATCCGCCTGCCTCTGCCTCCCGAGTGCTGGGATTAAAGGCGTGCGCCACCAACGCCCGGCTCTGGGTTCAGTTTTAAGCACGCACATGAAATAGTTCCCAACTGCCTGTGAATCCAGTCCTTGCACGCACGTACTGTGCGTAAACTCACGTAGGTACACATACTCATACACACACATAGACAGAAATGAGAGTGAAGAAGGTTTTAAGAAAGAGTATCAATGAAGCTTATGTGCCTTGGAGTTCAGCATCCTCAGTGTACAGGTCTGCGTACTTTTGGTAAGGATAGACAATCAAATAACCACTACCATAATGAAGATAGGGAGAATTTTCAGAGAGGTCCCCTCCAGCTTCCTTGTAAATCTTCTCTTCCCGCTACTGGTCCCTGGCAACCACTGATCTTTCACATGTCCCCATAGATTTGTTTTACAGAACGTCATAGAGATGAGACCGCAGTGTGTACGCTTTTAAGTCTGGCTTCTTCTGCTTGTAATGCACTTATAGTTCACCCAAGGTGTTGCTTGTGTCAGTAATTCCAAGAGCCCAGTGGGGCCATTCCATCCTCCTACAGTTCGTATCCTATAGATATTACCACGAGAGAAGTGAGGCTATGACCTCTAAACCATGGAGGTGCCC